ATTTCATCATATGAGAAGATTACAGTGCTTGTGTACAAAAGGATTTTATGATTTAATTTCATGTATTGTGCTGATGTTGAGAAAGTTATAACAATGAAAGAGAATAAGTTATGGTTCATAGTATATATGGGACTCTGCTTATTCACTCTTTGTGTGAGTAGTGATCAATGTGGTGCACCACAAGAGAGTGAGAGTACATGTGGGTGTGCATCAACCAGCAGAAAATCATCTGGAAACGCTTTTCAATCTGATGAACTTGGTGACGGTATAGAAGATATTTCAAAAGAAGCACCAAATTTCAAATATAGTCAGGATGCCAATGCAGTAAAGGACTCGCTTCAGACCCATCAGATGGTTGAAATCCCAGGTGGCAAGTTCATAATGGGCACTAATAACCCTGTGTTCCATGCTGATGGAGAACACCCTGCCAGATGGGTAGAAATTCGTGCTTTCTTTATGGATATCTATGAAGTAACTAATGCAGAATTTGAGCGTTTTGTCAAAGCCAACAGTTACAAGACCGAAGTAAGTGATCTGTGATATTTTTATGAAATATGGTGATTCATTATTACGATAACATATTGTTGCCTCATTTGTCAATAGAAATGTATTGTAGGTGATGTAATTGTTTTCTTTCTGGTAATACTCCTTTGAAAACATATTTCAATGCTTGCTGGGTAAATTATTTTCCCCTCTCTACAGTAGAACGTCGATATAACACGATATACTTTCCAAGAGAGGTCGCTTTAAACCGAATTCATACAAAATCGAAGTGTTGTTTCAATGGAATAATTAAGTTTGGTACTTGAGAAAAACACAAAATACTAAAAAGACTGAGAGTCTACCCTGATGCACCTCAGCCCATCTAGAATATACCAAACATTGTTTTTTGTAATATTATGTTAGAACAAACACTCATAAATCAACACAGCTAAAATAATGGGACGTGAAATGGTCTGTTTACTAGTGATCAGCTGATGGGGGGATGGGGGAGGTGAGGTGATATGTTTGACAGTTGATTGTTTATTTATTTATCTGTCCTTAAGAATGACTTTAAGTATTTCTCTTATAAATTGTCACTGAACTGACCTGGGAAATATAATTTACATTGCTGGAATTCTTATAAGATAGTGATTAGTTTGAATATATACATGCTATAGTTCGCAATAGACTACAAATTTTAGTTGTAATAAATCTTATTACAAAGGGCTAAAATTTTTATCTCTTGTGCAAAACATATGATGTTTATATTCAAATTATTCTCTGTCTTGCAAGGATTCTAGCAATGCAAATTAATTTATCCTAACTTTAGTCTGTGATATTATATAAGATAAAAACTGTAAGCCTAAAACACCAAACCCTGGTTGGGAAGATGGGGGTGGGAGGAAGGGGAGGTGACAAAGACGTGTTTGACAGTTGGCGCCGAAGGTCTAGTGAAGTATTTATTTGTTTGTTTATGTCCTTTAGATTGAGTTTTTGTTTTTTGTTTATAAAATGTCACAGAAGTGACCTGGGATAATATAATCTACTTTGCCGGAATTCTTTTAAGATGGTGATTAATTTGAATGTAAACACAAAGTTTAGTAATCATTTAGTACATTATTTTGAGTACATATACAGTACAGCTTTGGCTTTAGGACAGTGTAGCGTGCCCAGAGAAACATTAGTCGCGAATTTTAAAATATGATGCACCAGATTGACTCGTGCAAAATAGGAAAGATTCGCTTTAAATTAAAACATTGTCCTTAATTGTAGGTGTCGCTTTTAATCAATAACTTAAATTGAATTGCTTTAAATCGACGTTCTACTGTATAATGTTATTTAAAATGTCACCCATTCTTTCATTCTTTGACACATCTAGTCTTAGTTATCAGAAATGCCTCATTTCCTCCATACTATCCATTTAAATCATAGATGCACAACCTTTTCGCTTCCAGGGCCACATCACCAAACTAACTCGTAAGCGAGGGCTGCATGATTTATGAAATGTCACCATAATTAGATGTTTGAATGACATATTCAAATTCTTTACTCAAACGCACATACAGTAAGTCCTCGTTTAACGCCGGGGTTACGTTCCTAAAAATGTGACATTATACGAAACAATGTTAAGTGGATCAATTTTCCCCATAAGAAATAGATAAAATACGGGAGTTACGTTCCTGAGCCTCCCTTTGCCCCATGAAATACATTACTGTACATATGCAGAAAATCATTGCCATGTCTGTAGAAAATAGTGCATACATATACAACTACTAAGTTTGAAAAGGGACTCACCGATGGGCGGAGGTGGTAGAGCGAGTGTGTGGTGGGTAGTGAAGCAGAGGAGGTGGATGGCAGGAGGGGAGGAGTATGGTGGGAGCGGAGGAGGGCGGGAGAGGAGGAGGGTGGTGAGTCACCGAGACTGTAACGAGCCAAAAGAGCGTAGCGCTGTAGAAAGTAGTCCGTGACGACGCAAAACGACGTAGTATTGGATCACCGGGTCGTTAAACGGGTTTTTGGTCTCTAAAGTTTAGCGACGTAGTACCGAAACAACTTTAATGGGACGACGTTAAGCGCGGACTTACTGTATATTATTTCTTAAAATCAAATATAATGAATTTACTTACCGGGTAGACTAGAGATAACCAAGAATTTGCTGCCACACATAATTAATTTTTATCTGACTTTATAAAAAGGCCAAGTACAGTATCATAAAAAATATTTATTAAAAGCAATGTGGTTACCTGGCATATCACGTGACAAGTTTTTCTTAATGTGATGTTTGACATTGGGACCGGAGACGAGCTTCTTGATGTTAGGGTCAAACTTTGTGGCTGCCGGTCACAAAACAGAGTGCAAATTTTCGTCCTTTAGCCTATTTCGAATCTTGTACTTGTTGAGATTCAACAGACTAAATGTTTGCTCACAAGATGTATGTGGAGCCAAACATGCATAAATAGCAGCCTTATTTCTCAAATATGGATACTGATCTTCAGCACCTGTAAAAATTGAGCAAGTTCCTTCCATAAACTTGGCACGAAGACTGTCACTATTCTGGAGATCAATCAGTTCTAACTGGGCCTCTAGTTCTACGTCTTTAGGTGATAGGGAGAAAGGATTGCTCGACAGTTGCAAAATTTTCTGCTCTTTCTTGATGTCTCCAAATCGCCTACCAAACACTTCCCGGATATTTCCTGTTGTTGTTCCATAGTTTTCAGCTTTGTGATGTACAATACAGTCAGCCAAACATCCAGCGACCCCAACCTGGGTTTAGTACTTGTAATTTTACGTGGCAATACTTGGTAAAGTAAGGCATAGTTTGATATGTTGGAAAGTGTCCCAACTCTCCTTTAATGAGTTGTGACTGAAGCAGCTTAAGTTTTTGTTCAAAAGCTGACACATGGTTTGTAACTTGAGAAACAAGTTGGTTACTCCCCTAAAGTTTGGCATTCAAGTTATTTAAATGACTGGTGATATCACCAAGAAATGCCAGACCACAAAGTCACTCCACATTTTCCAGCTGTGGAGCCACTTCACTCTTGTCATCAAGAAATATCACTGTTTCATCCAGGAAGTTGATGAATCATTGCAGTGTATTTCCCAGACTTAACCACCTGACTTCAGTGAAAAACACTAGATCACCATACAAGTACTCAAACTAATTTCTTCTAGAAACTGCTTGAATTGGCAATGGTTCAAAGCTCGCGATTTTATAAAATTGACTGTTGAAACAACAATTTTCATTACATTTTCAAAGTTCAGTTCTTTCCCACACAAATTCATTTTTGCACTGTCTCAGGTGTTTGGTCAACAGTGGCACCATTCCATTGTGCCTACCAATCATCGAAGGCGCCCCATCAGTTGTTATGCCAACTAAGTTGTCTATATTCAACTCAAGTGCTAATTTGTTCCAGAAGTCCACTTAGCAAGTTACTCCCTTTAGTTTGCCCCTTCAGAGAACTGAGACCAACAAGTTCTTCATGAACAGTGAAGTCGTCTGTTACACCACATACGAAAACTAATAAATGAGCTGTTGATGTGACATCAGTCAGTTCGTCAGCGGCTACAAAAAAGTACACGGAGTTTTTTCCTTTCTCTTTCAGCTGGTCTACTATGTCACTTGATAAATCACAAATTCTGCATTGCACTGTCATGTGATTCAAACTAATGTTTTCAAACTTCTTCACTGCATCAGGACACAGATTTTGATCAGCAATAACCATACACTTTTCACAAGATCACCATCTGTAAATGACCATGAACATTTTGTCATCAGATGTGCGACTTCATAGCTCACTTCTGTCACATCTTGTGCTTCTTTCTTCCTTTTGAGTGAACATGGTTTATCCATCAAAGAATTTATTTTTTGTTTTCTCAGTTCACCTGTGATTTCTTCATATGCTTTATGCTTGGATAAATAATGTCTTTGCAAATTACAGTGGTCCCTCGGTTAACGAGCATAATCCGTTCTAGAAGGTTGCTCGTTAACCGAAAAACTCGTTAACCGAAACCATTGTTTCAATGGGTTTTGGGTAATTGGTTCCAGCTCACCGAAAATTGCCTAAATTCAACAAAAAAGGTAGAAAAGTACACTTACTTTGAGGTGTGTATGTAGAAGGCTCCTGGGTGATGATGATGATGATGGGAATTAGAATGGGGGTGGAGGAGAAGGAAGAAGAGAAGGCATTGGGGTGGAAGAGAAGTCACCCCATGGCTCCATTTCACCCATAAAATTTTAGTTCTCTTGGTGTAATTCAAGATTATTTTCTTTAAATCAACACTACACTGCATAATATATTGTCAATATGTAAAATAAATTTCAAAATGACCAATAATTTGCTTGCAAACACAGAAAAAAGCGTTTAGTTGAAGAGAGTCTCAAGCAAGATGTTACCTCCACTGAAAAGACACAAAGACTGACGTCTGTATGCTGTGTTAACAGGCTGGATGGCGTGCCACAAACTAGTGACCCTACCTTCAATTATGTTCAATAATAATTGTTAAAATGACTAAAAATTTTAATATTAAACTTTTAAAATGATTGAATAGTATAAACTTCTTGATATTTACTAAAAGGGTAAGGAATTTAAGCCCTAGAACCGATTATTGTATTGGCGGACTAATACTACAGCTGGTGGACCGCCAAATGCAAGCTAAAACATGTGGAGGTCGGCTCGTAAGAAACTCGTTAATCGAGGGATTGCTCGTTAACCGAAGTTAAGAATCTTATGGAAGGTAACTCGTTAACCGAAATCTCGTCAACCGAGGGACCACTGTATACTCCTTGCAAACGGCCACACATATTTGACAAATCGAGCAAATTATTTTCTTTGCACTGTTTTCCACAAAGAAATAGTTATAGGTCCATATTTCTTGAAACTTTCTGTTCTCGTCCTCAAGTTTCCTCTTCCATGATGTATTTTTCACAGTCAACTTACTAGCCTTTGTGAGGTGTAAAAAAAATATTAAATAATGCTCCAATAATGGTAATTGTCTCAACTGAGTGCCAGTGGATATTGTTTCAGCCAATCAATCAATCACCTCAGCCAAGTTCCAGCCAAAACTGCTGGAGTTGGTTGTATGTACCGTATGAGTGGTAATGATGCCATAATTCTCTTCTTATTTTTATTAGTACAGTAGTACCCCGCTTAACGGCTTAACGCGGTCAATAAAACCCACAGGGTACCATGTTAAGTGAAAACCGCGCTAAGTGATCAACAGAACATATGGGATTAATTCCAATAGAAACTGGCTCAACCCCCAAACTCCACTTTTTCCGACACAATACCTATGTTCTAGTAAAAATAACATCTTAATTTTATGATGGTACATGCACACAATTAATACTTAAGAGAAATAGAGAAATACAGTCGCAAAGTTAATGTCCATTCAAATAATGGACTCAAATCAATCCCCCTCTTCTCACACTACACTCGCTGGCTCTTCCCTCTCTGAGAAATTTTGGGGGGAAACCACTAAATTTTAATAAATAATACCTCAAACTAAAGTTAGGATAATACAATTGACATTGCTGGATTCCTTGTAAGACCAGGAATATTTTGAATATAAATGTCATATATTTTGCACAAAAGATAACATATTTACTCAGAGTAAACATTACATCTAAAATTTGTATGTCTAATGCAAAATCTATGATGTTTATATTCAAAATGATCATCAAATTATAAGAATTCCAGCAATGTAAATTATATTCTTACCGGGTAATTTGTATGAATTTTATGAGCTAAAACAAATATCTTAAGTTAATAAAAAAAAAAATATTCTTCACATGGTAGCAGATGGTCGGTCGGTCCCTCCCTCCCCCCCACCCCCCACCAACCGTCCCTACCAGATGTGTGGGAAAACCAGAATATTTACCTTTTTAGTAATAAATAATACCTCAAACTACAGTTCGGATAATATAATTGACATTGCTGGATTCCTTGTAAGACCAGGAATTTTTTGAATACAAATGTCATATATTTTGCACAAAAAATAACATATTTACTCAGAGTAAACATTATATCTAAAATTTGTATGTCTAATGCAAAATCGATCATGTTTATATTCAAAATGATCATCATATTGTAAGAATTCCAGCAATGTAAATTATATTCTGGCCGGGTAATTTGTATGAATTTTATGAGCTAAAACAGGCAGGCAGGCAGGGTGGCAGGTGGGGGGGTGGGGCGAATCTAAAAATAGCTCTCGAGCCGGACACTGCCACACTCTGCGCATATACATATACGTGGAAAAAACCCGGGTTAAGTGAAAGTTCAGCTCTGGGTGCGAGGCACCGCGTATACGTGAAATCGCGCTAAGCGAAACCGTGTTAAGCGGGGTATTACTGTAATCATCTAATTTCGTAAAATATGAACCATATAGTTTTCTCGTTCATTTCTATCAGTTTCTCATGGATAAAAGTTAGATATGTTGAGGAAGACGTAATACTGAGATAAAATCAACATAACTGGCTAAGCGGCAACGGTGCTCCCACCTAGACAGCCTGGCTCTCCGCTCGACACGTTCACTTCCCGTCCAGCTTTGGACCTGTCTGCTGACTGTGATCTCCAAACTGTTACAGTCAATTTGAAATTTTTATTACTTTTCAGCAAAATGCCATGCAAAAATGAAAGACATAAGCTTTTCAGTATAGCTGGTAAAAACTGTAAGTGTAAACTGAATGAAGGTAGAGATTGTTCCCATTGCCTCAAGTCCCAGTTTTATTTCATAATTTTGTATTTCAACAGTCTTGATTAGAAGACACCGAGAGCCGCAACAGAGCTACTGGAGGGCCGCATGGGTCACAGGTTGTGCATCCCGGATTTAAAGTAACCTTCATCTCAGTGTATTTTATTCATGTTACTAGTACTGTAATACCTTTTACCACACAGGCAGAAAAGTTTGGTGATTCATTTGTACTGGATGGGGAGTTATCAGAAGCAGTAAAAGCGACTGTAGAAAATGCTGTTGCTGCTGCCCCCTGGTGGGTGCCTGTAAAGGGAGCTGACTGGAAGCACCCTGAAGGCCCAAACTCTGATATTGCCGGTAAAAGGAGTTTTATAGTTTTATGTTTACTGTAATCCCATTAGTTCACAGGTGTCCATAATAGATACAAAATTTATGGGTTGAGTGGACAGGATTCTTTAGTTTTTATTTACAGCATTCTGGACTGTATCACAAAAACTGTTTTTTTTTTTTTAGAAAAAACGGCTTCTTTTATTAGTTTTATTACTATGTAATCCTTACTGATATGGCCATCACAATGTGTTCTGTTCAAATACATTCTCAACCTGAGCTACCTGTAATGACACAATGACTGTCTGCCTGGTGGTGGGGGTGTCATTAATGCTAACTCCTCAGACGATAGTATTTGGTACTATTTTTGTATTCTTAGTGAAAATACAGTTAATCTTTTAATTACTAGGATTTCCTTGCTTACATTCACAACTCCATGATGTATGTTATTTTGTATAAGTACTTTACTAAGATCTGAGAAGTTCTTGTGCCTGTGAGATACTATATAATATTCACCATAAGCACAACTTAGCTGTCCTGTTGTGTGGTTGGCACTCCTCTGATGCCTATGTCTCCTTGTCCTGTGTTATTTCATATAAGAGTTCACTAATACAGTATTCCACTTAATTTATTTGTTTCAAGTTTTCTGAATATAGTTACTAGAATCACTATGGATAGTCATAGACACAGCTACCCGGTAAGTAAATACAGTTAACCCTCACTTTACGCGGTCCCACATTCCGCGTTTCCACGTTTACGCGGTGCCCTGCCGGAACCCAGGATGCTCACATTCCGCGGTGCGTGTACCCCTTTACGCGGAGAGCGGCTGGCGAGCCGCGCCATTTTTGGATCCAAACCTCCCGCCATCCGCCATGTTGTGTAAGCGGCGCGAACATGGTGCGCACAAGGTCGCCCAGTCATCAAAACATTACCAGTTCTTCACCCGCCACCCACCACAGCCGGCCCAAGTCAGTGATAGTGATAATTATGGTGAGGATATGGACTTATATGGACTTTGGGGAGTTTGACAAAGAGGCCCTGCAAGCCTCTGTGGTGGATAGTGATACAATTGATACAAGTGACACAGGTGAGGGCCAATAATCTGCCCTCTGCCTCGGAACCAACCGCCCATCCCCGTGTGCCCAGCCATTTTTTCTACTAATGTAAGTGTTAAAAAACCTAATATTATTGATATTTCTCTTAATTATTAATTGTGTGTGCATACCATCATAAAGTTAAGATAATATTTTTACTACAACATAGTTGTGTGTCGTCAAAAAGTGGAGTTTGGGGATCGGCCCGGACTCCATTTCAATTAATCCCATATGTTATGTTATTCACTTTACGCGTTTCTCACTTTACGCGGGACCCTCCGGGTTACATTAACCGCGTAAAGTGAGGGTTAACTGTATTCTATAAGATTGTGATATGTGGCTCTAGATTTTTCAGTCACATCTAAATGAAACTTGAGCTTCACTTGCAAACATAAAAAAATTTGCTGCACTGATTGACACATTTACTATTGATTCACTGCCCAATATCTGCCACTGGACAAACAGAAGCCCAAATGCCAACATGCTCTATACCGAGGCATGACCTGACATGACATGACCTTCATTTGTCTAATATTTTACCAGATATCCATGTGTAGGGTGAAATATTGACCACAAAAGGATAATAGCAGTTATGTACTATCAATAGTTTGATGGTTGAACCAGGGTCAACAGAAAGTGACTTCATATTCCAGGATTCATATGAGGAGCAGAAGGAAAACTGCAAAGTCACTATATTCCCTTCTCCATTTTCTTCTGTTATTGTAAGGTTTCAAGAAATGGTGTGATGAAAATGTAAAGACATTACATTACAGTAATATCTCCCTTTGCTGGAATCCCTCTAACCTGGAACTCTCTGATAGCCGGAATTAAAATTTTTCGGAAAATCGTTTGAAAATTCCGGCTTTGGGAACGATTTTCCGAGGGGCACATTTAACGGAAAATTCTGAGAAAATTTTCCTGATACCCGGAAAATTTCAAGGATGGTGGAGTTTTTTCCAAATTTAAGAGATGAAAATCAGGAGTATTTTCTTGAAATTCCGAGAAAAATATTCCGTTACCGGAAAATTAAGGAAAATTCCGGGGATGAAGGATATTTTTCCGGGATCGAGAGATGATGAAATGGGCAATTTCTGGAACTTCCGAGAATATTTTTACGTTACCCAGAAAATTCTGGGGATGGGGGATTTTTTCTGACTTTGAGTAAGTCGTCTCGTTACCCGGAAATCTCTCATTCCCGGAAGTGCTCTGCACCAATTGTTCCGGCTAATGGGGATATCACTGTATTAGTACAGTATTGGATTGTGGCGTGAGAGGAAAATCCGTTTCCTATTTATGCTGTTTTTTCATGTTTTATTCTTTAATTTTCAGATCGTATGGATCATCCAGTTGTTCATGTATCTTGGAATGATGCAGCCAAATTCTGCAAGTGGATGGGCAAACGACTTCCGACAGAGGCTGAGTGGGAACGTGCATGTCGAGCTGGAAAACAGGAAAGACTATTTTCTTGGGGCAATAAATTTACACCAAATAATGTGTACAGGTATTGATTGTATACAGGTATTTGATTTTGTTATCCATTTTTAATTCAGTAACTGACAATCTGTTTATTGATATTTTAATATTACTAACTAAGGAAGTAAAGGCCACACTTACTGGTATTCTTGGAAAAAGTTTTCATTCGGTGAATTCTTGTTAATCAGAACCCATTTTCCTATATGGTTCCATGTAAAAAGCTGATATGCCTCATGCCCATAGAATTTCAATCCCAAAACCTAACGCTAGCACTTGTGTGTCATGGGGCTTAGCTCGACAAATACCCTCTCAGGCAATGCTTCTCCAAATATCACGGTGTGGGATGATTTTCTCCTAGGTGCCTGTGTATGTTCAGATGTGAAGAAAGATTGGCAGTCAGACCAGGTGACTGGCCACCCTACTAGCTGCCACACTGACTTAACTATCAGTGGTGATGTTTATCAATGCTAATGCATTACACGTCAGCTGTTATTTATTTAATAAAAGAATGTGTATTCAAGCAAACAAGCCCACAAGTCAAACAGGACAGGACAATTGTAAGTACTGTATGATTTTATGAAATATGAGTGGGGCACCTCATGAGGGGGAAAAACAAACAAAAACAATGTTTCTTTTCCATTATCTGCCCCAGTCAATATATAAAAATTTCTAAGTACAGTACCAGACACTGGGCAATGATGGAAAAACAAGTGGAAAAAGCTTGCATGGTAGACAGTAGATGTGCACTCCATTAGTGACCATCATGAACTGAACGTGATGCGTATAGTACTGTACTATAGTACAGTATAGTCTGGGTTTACGCTGTCAATTGAACCCATGGAGGTCCGCGTATAACGTGAAACGCGTAAACAAAATAACAGAACATATGGGATTAATTGAAATAGAGACTGGACCGACCCCCAGACTACCCTTTTTCCGACACAATATCTACGTTGTAGTAAAAATAACATCTTAATTTTATGATGGTATGCACACACAATTAATATTTAAGAGAAATATCAATAATGTTAGGTTTTTTAACACTTACGTTAGTAGAAGCGATGGCTGGGCACACGGGGATGGGGGGTTGGTTCCGAGGCAGAGGGCAGATTATTGGCCCTCACCTGTATCACTTGTATCACCTGTATCACTATCCACCACAGAGGCTAGCGGGGCCTCCTTGTCAAACTCCTCAAAGTCCATATCCTCACTATCACTGACTTGGGCTGGCTGTGGTGGGTTGCGGGTGAAGAACTCGGTAATGTTTTGTTGACGGCTAGCATTGATGTGGTCGTGATACATCTGAACATAGGGCTCCATGCATTTCAACAGAAGGTTATTAGACATAGCAATGATTGACTGGGTCTTTGGCAAGGTTGAGCTTCATTTTCTCAGCAAACTCGATGACCTCCTTGACATCAGCATGTGTTAGTTTCTGCTCTTGTTCTTGCGCCGTAACACCTCGCTGCTCACTGACGTCATCATCTTCCAACATCTCGTCCGCAGTCACTTTAGGTTGCCTGATTACCTCCAGGATGTCGTCGTTGGTGGTCTCAGAGAAGCCTGCAGTTCTAACACTCTGTGCAGCCTCTCTTGCAATGTCCAATGCCACAGCAACAGACTGAGCCTTTCCAGCCACCGCTTGACTCTGCCTCCCACCTGGGATACCCTGCAACACATGCCGCCACACGTGACGAATCGTTGCCACAGACAGCTGCCCCCATGCCTCCACCAAGAAATCAACAGCCTTCTTTACGTTAAACAGCTTCCAGAACTGCTTGACCCGCACTTCATGGTCCATCAAATCTTGTTCTAGATCCTTGTCCTCGCTCTCGGTGCCACTCAGGAGGTTCTGCAATTCATCCTTGGTGTTGGTGAAGTTGTTCAGGAGCCGAAACTTCTTTGCGGAGAAAGCAGCCTTCATGTTGCAAATCAACTGCTGATCCATGGGCTGGATTAACGACGTAGTGTTAGGGGGAAGGAAGACCACTTTTACGTTGGGGTGACGATCCAGCAATAGGGGCGAGTGTCTTGGTGTGTTGTCAAGGAGCAACAAAATGTTGAATGGCACATTATTTTGCTCGCAGAATTTCTTCACATCAGGAATGAAACAGTTGTCAAACCAGGAAAGGGACAGAGCAGTGAACATCCATGCCTTCCCTGAGGTTAGCCAGTGGACATTTAACTTGCTCATGTCCATATTCTTGTATGCATGCGGCTTGCGGGCTTTATGGATTACCGACAACTTCAGCTTACAAGTGCCGGAGGCATTGGTGGTGAACAGTACGGTGATGCACTCCTTCTGCATTTTGCGCCCCCGACACTTGCTCGCAGACTTGACTACGAAGGTCTTGGATGGCAATTTTTTCCAAAGCAACCCGGATTCATCCATAATGAACACTTGGTCGTCGGTGTACTGTCCTTCCTCCATAATTTCTCGTAAAAATTGGGGAAAATTCATGGCGGCAGCCCGGTTGGCACTTGCTCCTTCACCGAATATCTCAATGTTCGTGATCTTATGACGTTGTTTGAAACCTTGCAGCCACCCAGCGGAAGCAGTGAAGGGTTTGGGCTCTGCAACTCCCATTTTTCTAGCCACTGATTGGTAGAGTTCTCTCGCGTAGTCCTGCACTGCCCGAGTGTCGACCGCCATGTTCCTTCTTGACTGACAAATCAAATAGCTGACTAATAAACCCTCGGTCTTGAACAGCACCTTATTGTGGCAATATTTCACCATCGAGGCACCTACAGACGTTGTAATGCTCATATGTTCTTTGATCTTGCCGGCATCCTTCTTGATCGTGCGGATCGTCGATTTGTTCACTCCATATTGTCTGGCCAGATCCACCTGCCTCGTGCCTTTTTCTAACTCCTGAACGATCTTGTACTTAACTTCATAGCTTAAGGCGTATCGCACCTTCTTGGGCTTCGGGCGGCTTGGGCCAGGTAGTTCAAGGTTTCTCGGGGGTGGTGGGGGTCCAGTGGAAGCCATTGTTGAACAGGTTATCGGGCACGAGGGAGCACTGTTTACGCGGAGATGGAAGACAATGGGACTGACACAGCCAAGGTCAGCGACTTAACCCTTCTGATGGCAGGGCACGCAAAGTTAAATAGACCAATCACAGCTCGCAGCGGAGGGGATGCGTGGGTGGTAAGGATACGTGGCCCAATCACAGTCCGAAACGTCAGCGGCCAGGACCTTGCACAGCTTGCCCACGCCGCTTGCCGCATAAATTAAGGAATGTACCGCGTAACTAATAATTGGCGCGTCTGGACAGGTGCCACGTAAATGACCAAACGCGTATAAAATATTTGCGTAAACCCAGACTATACTGTACGTGTTTACACTGAGGCAGGTGGTTGTATCCTGTGGCTGCATAGCAGCAAGACATGTGCTTCATATATATACAGGGGTATTCGTAAATGTCTCTCATATTCTGAAATTCTGCAAAATATTGTGAAATTTGTAATATATATTTCGTAACAGCAATATATTACGAATTATGAGTGATTTTGAATTTGAGGGGTACAAATTATGGGGATTTTACTGTACAGTGGACCTTTACCATTTGCGGTTTTATGGTTTGCGGTTTCAACTACTGTATTCGTGGTTCATTCCATAAAAAATATTATAATAAAAAGAACAAAATATTGGTTGGAGATACAAACAACATAATTCTATTAGTTCTATATTACATAAATAGTTCATTCCCTTCTCATAATCAACCTTTGGGGTACACCATTACACTTTTAAATAAATAACATAGAGACAGGCAGATGCTGGGGCTCGCCTGCTGGTCAGCAATAATGTTTCGTTAAGCACACACTTAATGAACCTAAATAATATGGGAATTATGGTCAAACTGCATATTGTACTTTTGTTATAAAGGGGTTGGGGAATTGTTGGGTACAGCCCAGCCACCCACCATACTTCATCACACACAGTTCCGCTTACCACTTAATTTTTTCTTATTTTATACTTACTGTATAGTATATTGTAGGATTTCATTGCTTTATTAATGATTTTCACCATTGTATGTGTATTTAAGGAAAATATACAGTAAATCCCTGGTAACTCAGCATTCAATATCTCTAAATTTCATGTACTTCGGCATGGATATGGTCACGGAATTTATTATAAAGTAACTCGGGAAATGCCGAGTTATATAAAATGATCTCGGAAAATCTCTGCATACTACCGTATATGGTCGCGTAGGTAATTCTCGCCACGCTCCACTCTTGGTCAGTCTGGTGTTTGTAATTGTGATCGGGTGCATGCTGGCTCAGTCCAACCAGTACATGGACCTGGGAAGGGAAGGTGCTGTAGCACCCCAATATTTTGGGTATAAGGTAGTACTATACAGTGGTCCCTCGGTTAACGAACACAATTCGTTCCAGAAGGTCGTTCGTTAACCGAAACCATTGTTTCAATGGGATTTTGGGTAATTGGTTCCAGCTCACCGAAAATTACATACAAAGTAAAGTACACTTACTTTGAGGTGTGTATGTAGAAGGCTCCTGGTTGATGATGATGATGATGATGGGAATTAGAAGTGGGGGTGGAAGAGAAATCTCCCCATGCTTGATGCCGTCATTTCACCCATAAAATTTTAAGTTCACTAGGTGTAATTCAAGATTATTTTCTTTAAATCAACACTGCACTGCACTATATCTTGTCAATATGTTAAACAAATTTCAGAATGACCAATAATTGTACTGCAAAAACTTAAAAATACACTGTGTTCAAGAGACCCACAAGCAAGATGTTACCTCCACTGAACAGAGATACAAACTGAGGCCTTGGTGGGTGAGTGAAGTGGCTGATGGGCACACCGAAAACTAGTTCCCTGTACTGCAATTATGTTAAATAAGTGTTAAAATTACTAAAAATTTTAATATAAAACTTGGAAAATTATTGAATAGTACAAACTTCTTGATATTTACTCCAATTTTAACGAATGTAAGTCCTAGAACCGATTTCTGTATTGGCGAACTAATCTTCCAGCTGGTGAGCAAGCCAAAGCATGTCGAAACATTTTTGTAAGAATTTCGTTAACCGAATTTTTTTTCATTAACCGAAATGAAGATTCTTATGGAAGGTATAGTAATTCGTTAACCGAGGCGTTCGTTAACCGAGGGACCACTGTACATTGCACCACAGAGTATCTAGGGAACCAGAATTAATATTCAGCACTCCCTGGTAAAATTTGATTTTTGCAGTACAAACCCAGTAGCACCCAACAACCTCCTCCACTCATGTCAGGCCAGCCACTGTATGCAGAACATCTCCACTATTATGGTAAATCCAATGTCGTAGACTTTATTTAATTTAGAGTGCAATTCATTTTATTCAAATTCCAACTACTGCTACTCCTCGACTTACGACATACTCGACCTATGACCACCCGGACATACGACCATCCCAGTCGTACAAAAAAAAATAAAATTACGTATTTTCGAGTCTGAACGTTAGTGATTGCATTGTGTACTGAAAAAATTTTCGTTTGTAATTCCCTTTAAAATGGTTGGCATGTGTAAAAGTGAGAGTTCGCGTGGTGCTGAGAAAAAAAAAGAGACGCCCAGAAATTTATGTAAATCTAACCAAAGATATACCGTATATACTTGTGTATAGTTCGAGTTTTTAAGACCAAATTTTTAGGCAAAAAATTGGGGGTCGTCCTATACATGCGTAATAGTTTTGTTAGGTTGAACCCGTGCATGATGGGAAGGGCGAGGAGCAACTTTTAGCTTCAGACATGAAAAATATTTACCATTTACTGCCAGTAAACAATGGAAACGTAAAATATGTACCAATTAGTAATGAAAAGTTGTGCAGTTCCTTCAGTAAATGAAGTTCACCAACTTACAATAGGCTAAATTACCTTACAACATGCATTCAGTAGTCTATGTTGAAGTTCTTAGCACAGGCTAACTTATCATATCATATACGGTATCACAGTTCTCATTGATCTACAAAAAATACCGGTAATAAAAACCTTTTCGATATTTCACACTTAATATAATACCTGGTAATCTACTTCAACCTCCTATTGTTTACAACGACACATGACGCACCACCAGCTGTATCACCTAGACGGTACACGTGTTTTTCGAATCGTTTTCAGTTAAAAAACTGTTGCATCACATGTATATTTTACCTTAACTGTGCCTTTTCTTTTAATTGTAAATCTCCCTGTAGCAAGCAAGTGCATCTTGGATCATTCAACATTTTGATCCATTTCTTCAAACATTTGCATCCCCTTATTAACATACCCTTATTAATACTGTAGTAGCAAATGCCTCTGCCATTTGTTTCACTGAAAACTTTTTGGGGGGTGCAGGTTCTTCTACATTTTGTCTCTCTTCTTCCTCTGCAATTTTCTGTGCATCCAGTTCAATAAGATCCTCTTTACTTAGCTCTTCTGCTACACTTTCAACCAACTGCTCAACATCTTCATTATCAATTTCTAACTCCAGCTGTTTACCCAACTCCACTATCTTGTTACTAATCTCAGAAATTGTTTCATCTTCATTAAATCCTTTGAAACTGTTCACATATCTTTTCAGGACCTTTTTCCATATTCCATTCATGCACTGACCTGTAACCTCCTCCCATGCTGCAGCTATGTTCTTTATACATTTCAAAATGTAGGTCGTTCAGGTGTGGTGGGTGTCCCGGAGCATTATCTAAAATTAATAAAATCTTGAACGCAATCCCTTGTTGCAAACAATACTCCTTGGCTCGTGGAATGAAACAACTCAGGAACCAATCCTCAAACAGTGCTAGGGTCATCCACGCTTTCTTATTACTGCGATAAAACACTGGCAATGTGTGCTTGCTGACATTTTTAAGAGCCCTTGGGCTCTCTGAATGATATATCATGAAGGGTTTTACCTTGAAACCAGCTACATTCCCCTCCCAACAGCAGTGTGAATCGGTCCTTGAATGCCTTGAAACCCGGCATGGTTTTCACTTCTTTGTGGATGTATCTCCGTTCTGGCATGCGCTTCCAGTGTTTACTCAACATTCATACTTCCCAAGCTCACCTATGCCTCCCCTGCCTGGTCTTCCTTCCTAAATGTCACACAATGGAAACACCGAGAAAAGTGCAGAAGAGGTCATGCAAGATTATTCTTTCCCCCTCCAATCCACATATCAAGAAGTGCTCAATACACTGACCCTCGTGGTTCTCTCTGATCATTGCCACGACCTCATACTACAAATTTGGTGAGAAGCTTCTGTACAATCCTCGACACCGGCTCCTACTTCCACCCGAGATCTTTCGTTCGCATATTGCTGTTCGACATCCAGCCCATATGAGCATGTATGGATTGCTACAAGAACAACCCAGTCCCAACCATTGTAAAAATTATCAACAACTCATAATCAACCAATGTATTCACTCCCAATCGAGCTCAGTGTTACCTTTTTGCACTGTCACTATGTTGAAATGCCCTGTAGTACAGGTATAACGTTCTCCCCACTTAGTTATTATATATCATATATCAGCCTTCTGGGCTGCCATGTTCTTTCAGTAAACCGCTAATTATTATTATTATTTATTATTAGAATGTTAAAAAAAATAATAATCAACATTAGATAAAAAATCTGAAATGATTAAAGATTACTTCCTGTGCCAGTGGGAGGTGAAGCATTGCTAAGGGAAGTCTCCAGCTGGGCTGGGTTGCTATGGTGAGGCTTGAGGGAGGCCATGCATGACTCAAGCCAGCTTCTGCAAATGGCTGCGGTGTTAAACTTTCAGGAATTAATTTCATGGACATGCCAGTGCCTCCACAACATCATGTTTAAGTGAACTTGGTAGATGTACTGTACTGTACTGTATGTGAATTAGTGAGCTGGTACTTTGAACTTTAGTTTTGGAGCATTTTTGGTGTGTGTGTGTGTGTGTGGGGGGAGGGGGTGGGGGGGCTTTTAGGAATCCAACTGGTGCATCCCTTATTTCCCTGTGTTATAATGGGTTTGCTCTAGACAACATTTTCTGAAAATGCAACCCCCGTGGTAAGGAAGGGGGCAGTGTAAGACACTACATGGCACACCTGTTAGAGACATTGATAATCCTGAAAGGGATGGAAAATTTTAACTTGGATTACTTCTATAAGATGGTCAAGTGTTATAAACAAGAAATCATATCTTCAAGCTCACCCAGTTGTCATACAGAACAATATGGAAGTACTTTTTCATGCACAGGGCGGTAGACCTATGAAACCATCTACCAGCTGCAGCCATGAAAGTAAGAACAGTCCTGGACTTGAAAATAGCCCTGGACAAGACTCTTAAGAACACTGAGGGGATCTTACACAAGCCACCAGCCTCCTTCCTCCCATCATGGTGACCACTAGCTCTTGTGGCTGTTAGGTAAATTAGGGAAATATGATAATTATCAACATTTATGTAATAACCCATTGCCTTTCAGAAAGAGTTATACACTGCACCTTATATAGAATAGTATAGAAGAAAAACACTCTTATTTACGAAGCTTCTGAGAATTATATTGAAACTCAAAGAGTTTCCCAACATTTTTTAAAAGTTGTCTTCTTGTAAACAAGAATTTTGAGTACTTCTGAATAAATCCCAATTTCCTTTTCAATTTTATACGTATTTGAAACATATTTGTTCAGGGAATTAATATACTACATATTCTATCTTACCCTTAGGGCTAACATATGGCAGGGAAGTTTTCCAGAACAAGACACAGGTGAGGATGGATGGGCAGGTCGGTGCCCCGTCACTGCTTTTCCTCCCAATGGCTATGGCCTGCACAATATCCTAGGCAATGTTTGGGAATGGACAGCTGATTGGTGGGAAGTTAGCCATTCTCCAAGTCTTCAGACAAATCCAGTATGTCCTCTACCCTATCCATCACTTGTAGTACTGTAGTTCACTGATTTTATGTTTATTGTACCATAATGTATCAGCTTTAAGATGATTCATGATAATATACACACACACACACACACACACACACACACACACACACACATGCTGAAAAGGTTTTACATAATACATTAAAAACTCCTTGAGCTAAGACTCAACTCCAGCAACCAGTGCCCATGATCAACCCCAGAAGGAGATGGCAACCAAACCCAAGCTGAAAGTACCCTTCTGCAAAACATGTAAAAAGAAGGTACATGTAACAGAAAAATTTTGGTTCAAAGGTCAGTGAGAAAACTCTCTACTCATCCAGGTCAGAAAGATCAAGGAAAAAGACTTCAAATAAATACCAATATTCGGGACATACAGTATAGATCAAAGATAAAGTCATTATCAAAGACCGATGAAAATGTGGTGTGTAGTTCATTAAAGCAAAATCCACAACAGTTAAGAATATAAAGAAAGACTTACAAGTTGCAGGCATCAGTCAGGGGAAGATGCTCATCCAAGTCGTTATGAATATGGTGGAGGATGGAGGCCAGTAACACTAGTTAACAAGGTTTTTGGTTCATGAATCATACTAGATGTTTATTACTACAGGTTGTACCTCTCTAGTCCGGCATTCTGTGGTCCGGAAACTCCCGTGGTCCGGAACGATTTTAGTTTGTCCAATAGGTAGATAGGCAGCTTTTTTTTTTTTTTTACTTATCTGAATTATTATTTTTATTATTATTATTAGGAGTATTAAATTTTTTTTGCCCCTCAGGCCCCAATGTGGGTCAGCGACCTATGCCGGGTGGGCTAATTTCGTAAAAACAAAAACAAAAACAAAAGCATGAAAGTAGGTTTGTTTACATCCGGCCTCTCTCTCTCTCTCTCTCTCTCTCTCTCTCTCTCTCTCTCTCTCTCTCTCTCTCTCTCTCTCTCTCTCTCTCTCTCTCTCTCTCTCTCTCTCTCTCTCTCTCTCTCTCTCTCTCTCTCTCTCTCTCTCTCTCTCTCTCTCTCTCTCTCTCTCTCTCTCTCTCTCTCTCTCTCTCTCTCTCTCTCTCTCTCTCTCTCTCTCTCTCTCTCTCTCTCTCTCTCTCTCTCTCTCTCTCTCTCTCTCTCTCTCTCTCTCTCTCTCTCTCTCTCTCTCTCTCTCTCTCTCTCTCTCTCTCTCTCTCTCTCTCTCTCTCTCTCTCTCTCTCTCTCTCTCTCTCTCTCTCTCTCTCTCTCTCTCTCTCTCTCTCTCTCTCTCTCTCTCTCTCTCTCTCTCTCTCTCTCTCTCTCTCTCTCTCTCTCTCTCTCTCTCTCTCTCTCTCTCTCTCTCTCTCTCTCTCTCTCTCTCTCTCTCTCTCTCTCTCTCTCTCTCTCTCTCTCTCTCTCTCTCTCTCTCTCTCTCTCTCTCTCTCTCTCTCTCTCTCTCTCTCTCTCTCTCTCTCTCTCTCTCTCTCTCTCTCTCTCTCTCTCTCTCTCTCTCTCTCTCTCTCTCTCTCTCTCTCTCTCTCTCTCTCTCTCTCTCTCTCTCTCTCTCTCTCTCTCTCTCTCTCTCTCTCTCTCTCTCTCTCTCTCTCTCTCTCTCTCTCTCTCTCTCTCTCTCTCTCTCTCTCTCTCTCTCTCTCTCTCTCTCTCTCTCTCTCTCTCTCTCTCTCTCTCTCTCTCTCTCTCTCTCTCTCTCTCTCTCTCTCTCTCTCTCTCTCTCTCTCTCTCTCTCTCTCTCTCTCTCTCTCTCTCTCTCTCTCTCTCTCTCTCTCTCTCTCTCTCTCTCTCTCTCTCTCTCTCTCTCTCTCTCTCTCTCTCTCTCTCTCTCTCTCTCTCTCTCTCTCTCTCTCTCTCTCTCTCTCTCTCTCTCTCTCTCTCTCTCTCTCTCTCTCTCTCTGCTTGTCTATACAGAGTACAACATTTAACCCTTCAATATATATGAGCAGTAAATAAGCGTTGCTTTCATATTCTTATGTAGAGTAATGATGATATGTTTTCGCATGTGCGCACTTACATACGCGCAGTCTCACTTTTTTTTACCATTAATGGTTAGCTACTTATATTGTTCCATTTATTAACATTAAATAACGTTACAGCTACTTCAAACAACCATATTAATTTTTTACATTAATTTTACTACAGCTGAAATCAGGGTCTTATTTTCTTCAGTTTTATATGTAGAACCAATCAGTCACTGGTTTCATAAGCTTTAACATAAACAATGCCGGCAGCCGTCTCGTCTCCTCTAATATTCCACGTATTATTAATAAATTGTATTGTTAATTTTGCACACACGTACATTAATTCAATAAAACAAATTCAGAAACATTAATTAAAATATATATGAACAGTAAATAAGTGTTGCTTTCATATTCTTATGTAAAGTAATGACGATATGTTTTCATGTGTGCGCATGCGCACTTACATACGCGATCTCTCTTTTTTCTTTACCATTATCGTTAGCTACTTCTATTGTTCCATTTATTAACATTAAATAACATTACTTAAAACAACCATATTAATTTTACTACAGCTATAACCAAGGTCTTATTTTCTTCAGTTTTATATGTAGAACCAGTCAGTCACTGGTTTTGTAATCAACGAAAACAATGCTGTGTCATTTCCTCGTGTTTTAATATTCTACGTATTATTTATGAATTGTATTGCTCATTTTGCACACACAGTAATAAACAATAATGCATCTTTTATACATAAGAAAAATGACGCTGTTTACACGATTATGCACGTCGTCTGCACGTTGGCGGGCCGTTCAAACCCGTCGAAATTCAAGTTTCCGCCATCAAAATTTTTATTTATTTATTTTTTTGTGTGTTCCAATAAAATTCGTTAAGAATTAAAAACTTGCGAAATTTGAGAAGCTACTATACGACATTTATCCCTTCAATATGTCTTCAAAGAGACCATGACGCAGAGAAAGTGGTGCTAGTGCTTCCAAGCATAAGCACAAGTCACTATCTATCCAGGAAAAGGGTGAATTTCCATGGTCCGGCAATTTCCATGGTCCGGCACCGGTCAGGTCCCGAGGTTGCCGGACTAGAGAGGTACAACCTGTAATTGAAACATGCTTATTTCAAATCTGCCCTTAGCTTTGCTGTATCACATCTAGTTTTCAAAATATTTATTATACTTCAATATTTGAACTGTCAAGGTGACTGACTTAAGGATATTGAGCTCTTTAGCAGGGGCATCATTTTGGTGGGGTGGGGGGGGGGGAAGGGCACTCGTCCCCCCAAGACCTGGCTTGCTTCCCCCAAGACCTGGCTTGCCCTTCCCAAGGGCTGTCTTGTTCTCCAAGGATAATTGTAATTATTTTGGATTTGGTGAAAACATCTCAATGTTATTTTTACTATACATAATTAAACAAAATGATAAGTTTTCATCTATTTTCATTGTTCCCATTGCTTATCATTTATAAACTGAATAAAAGGCAAGGGAGTAAGTCATATTGCTAGCAGCCACACGGTCCACACCGGGCAGATGCAAATTGAAAATATAAAACGTGTTGGAACGTTTTTTGTCTGTTACAGCATCATGGTGGAGCAAGATTTTGACCCCTACTCTTTGCATGTAATGGTGTTGCCTCCCCCTAAGCAAAATCTGAAATGACACCCCTGCTCTTGAGGCAAAAGACAAAATTGTGAAGTTCACCTTATTATGATAAAATACTGACAAAGCCACACTTGGGAGGTCTACTGGGGTTGCCGTAATAGCACCTACTACATCTGCATGGCTCAACAAGGAAAACTACAAATAGTTTTATCAACTACTGTAGCTAAAGAATGGGAGGTCTCAGTTTACCAATAAGCTCTATGTAAAATTCAATTTATAGATACATATGTGTATATACAGTAGTCACATATAGATATTGTAATGCATTTCTGTATTGACAGTTTCTAAAAAAATATACAAATTTGTAAGACATTGTCTCATATAAGAATTTTTTTTCAACATACCTTTCATGTCTAATGGCTTTTGTCCATTCTGGGGCTTTGTAAAGAGAGGGTTGTCACTACTGTTTTTTATAATTCACTTTTATTTCTAAACTTTTATCTGAATCACCCACTAAAGCTGACTTACTTGCCACATGCATCCGAAGCTACCTGTATTTATAGAAAACCTTACTTTGTTCTCAGCAAGGTCCTCGGTCTGGAGACGACAAAGTCAAGAAGGGAGGCTCCTATATGTGCACCAAGGAATACTGTTACAGGTGAAGGTTCTTCTTAACCTGAATGATAATTGTTTTTTTTATTCCTGAGCCTTTTATACTTCACCTTCCTCACAGGGATAATATATGACAAGGAGGTTCTCCCAAGGAAGATGTAAGAAAAAATGAATGGATGAGTTGCTGCCTTGACAAAGAAAATGCAGTTGGACGAGTTCCTGCCTTGATATAGTATAGATGAGTTGCTACTTTGATGTAGCTGCTGTGATATAGGATGGATGGGTTGCTGCCTTGATACAAGAAATGATCAATGGATGATTTAGTCTTGATATAGATTGGATGAGTTATAGTGATATCTCACTTAGCCAGAACAATTGGTGCAGAGCATTTCCGGGAATGAGAGATTTCCGGGTAACGAGACGACTCTCTCAGAGCCGGAAAGAAATCCCTCATCCTGAAATTTTCCGGGTAACGGAAAAATGTTCTCGGAAGTTCCAGAAATTGCCCATTACTTCATCTCTCAAACCCGAAAAAATATCCCCCATCCCCAGAATTTTCCATAATTTTTTTTTTCCGGAAAATGCGCCTGATTTTCATCTCTTAGACCCTGAAAAGAACTCTCTCATTACCGGAATTTTCCAAGTATCGGAAAAATTTTCTTGGAAATTTCTGGAAAATGCGCCCCTCGGAAAATCATTTCCAAAGCCGGAATTTTCCGAAAAATTCCGGCTTTGGGAAAATTTTTCCTAGAAAATTTCTATTCCGGCTGTCAGAGAGTTCCAGGTTTGAGGGTTTCTGGCTAATGGAGATAGTACTGTACTGTACTGTACTATGTACAGTCCCCCCATAAAGTATCGTTATATTTTCTGTCGCTACAGTTTGAAACACTAGACAAAATGCTTTGAAATGATCCCCAATGCATCCTCATAAGTTAGTACGTCTGGTCATTATATACAACAGCTAGAGATGGTGGTAGGGGGTCGTCTCTGTATGGCACACTAGATACTTCAATATAACAAGAAATATAATAAGCTATATTACAGTGACCCCTCGGTTAACGAACTCAATCCGTTCCAGAAGGTCGTTCGTTAACCGAAAAGTTCGTTAACTGAAACCATTGTTTCAATGGGTTTTTGGGTAATTGGTTCCAGCTCACTGAAAATTTCCTAAATTAAAACAAAAATGGTAGAAAAGTTCACTTACTTTGAGGTGTGTATGTAGAAGGCTCCTGGATGATGATGATGATGTGCATTTGAAGTGGGAGATGGAGGAGGAGAAGGGAGAAGAGAAGGCATTGGGGTGGAAGAGAAGTCACCCCATGGCACCATTTCACCCATAAAATTTTAGTTCTCTTGGTGTATTTCAAGATTATTTTCTTTAAATCAACACTGCACTGCATTATATATTGTCAATATGTAAAATAAATTTCAAAATGACCAATAATTTGCTTGGAAACACAGAAAAAAAGCGTTTAGTTGAAGAGAGTCTCAAGCAAGATGTTACCTCCAGTGAAAACAGAGAGAGACTAACGCCTGTTTGCTGTGTTAAGAGGCTGGATGCCGTGCATTAAACTAGTCACTTTACCTTCAGTTATGTTCAATAATTGTTAAAATGACTAAAAAATTGAATATTAAACTTTTAAAATTATTGAATAGTATAAACTTGATATTTACTAAAATAGTAAGGAATTTAAGCCCTAGAACCGATTAATGTATTGGCGGACTGATACTAAAGCTGGTTGCCCGGTCAGTGCAAGCGAAAACATGTTGAGGTCGGTTCGTAAGAAATTCGTTAACCGAATTTTTGTTCGTTAACCGAATTGAAGATCCTTATGGAAGGCAGTTCGTTAACCGAAATTTCGTTAACCGAGGCATTCGTTAAACGAGGGGTCACTGTATTGTATGTATCGTGCTGGGTAGATGCAAGGCATATGTAAGCAAGCCACTGACTGATGATGACAATATCACCAAAATATACTTCAAATGGAAGTGTTTCGGAACATCACAACTGAGCCTAAGACAGACTTCAAAATGGACATTTCACCATTATATCGTTGTAGTAACGGAGTTTCATTCATACTGAGTTTCACAATATGCCTACTCATGTTGTTCACAGTAAATCTGATTTATGAAAAGTGACTAAGCAAATAGTACTTGATATTAGAGTGAACAGCTACAGCAATTTACAATATTGTATATCAGTCTACATGGGATCTGCCATGTTACTGATATGTAAATTGCATTGGTTTAACTCCGAAATAAGGTTTTAAATCAAGGGACGTGCAGGCACCAAAACCCCCCATTCACCTATGGAAAGACATTTGTGATTGTATAATTCAGTGTGGCACCAGTTGTTTCATGGCGTCTAACCAATCATGATTCTGTGGGTTCGCTCACCCCAATTCGCCCTGCTCTCTCAGTATTACATATATATCCTTATTGTTAAGGGCAATGATGGCACCTTTCACATCTTACTATGTCTCCCCAATAATTCCTCGCTCCATTTGATGAAAGATACCGTTGATGACTAGCATGGCGTTGGTATCCATTTACGACATACACTCTGAGTCATGTAATATATGATCTGAAACCTCAGAGGATTCACATCATTCAAAAATGTATACCTGTATACAATACTCATTCATGCTCAAAGGTCGTGGATATAGAATTACCAACATTTCAGAAACAAGTCTAGTAACATTGCTCAGAAAGCATTAAATCACATCGAGCCCATGGCTAATGATACTTTTTGGGGGACTGTACGGTACCTTGATGTAGGGAGAGATAATGGATGAGTTACTGCCTAGGTGGATGAATAACTCTTTGGTACAGGTAAATATGAATGAATGAGCGAGTTACTCCCTTGATATAGGAAAAGATGAATGAATGAGTTGTTGCCTTGATATAATTACTATTTTAATTAATTAATTTTTTAAATATTTAAATTACATTACAATAAAATCATTATCTTTGTGCTTCGCTTGACACCACTGTGGGATGGAAACAGTGTTTCCCAAGCTGATTGACATTTGAATATCATGAATTGTCTGAGTAATCTTATGTATATCTTTATTATACAATATTGATTACTGGCACAGGTGGCCTATCAAAAATCCGGCAACTTCGAAAATGCCGGAAAACTGGTGGTTATATTTGCTGTATAAGTTTAACAGAAAATGACTAGGCTACTTGTACAGTCCTTTAAACAAAGAAAATTAAACACTTAAGTTAGGATAATATAATTGACATTACTGGATTCCTTGTAAGACCAGGAATATTTTGAATATAAATTTCATATATTTTGCACAAAAGATAACATATTTACTCAGAGTAAACATTATATCTAAAATTTGTATGTCTAATGCAAAATCTATGATGTTTATATTCAAAATGATCATCAAATTGTAAGAATTCCAGCAATGTAAATTATATTCTGGCCGGGTAATTTGCATGAATTTTATGAGCTAAAACAAATATCTTCAGTTAATAAAAAAAAAAAATATTCTTCACGACACTATCTGTCAATCAAAGTACCCCACCTTGCCTCCCCCCCTCTTCCAACCGCGCGGTCCGTCCCAACCCTCCCTCCCACCCCCCACCTTCCATCCCTAACTTTTAACTTAATAAATAATACCTCAAACTAAAGTTAGGATAATATAATTGACATTGCTGGATTCCTTGTAAGACCAGGAATATTTTGAATATAAATGTCATATATTTTGCAAAAATAACATATTTATTCAGAGTAAACATTATATAAAATTTGTATGTCTAATGCAAAATCTATGATGTTTATATTCAAAATGATCATCAAAATTGTGAAATTCCAGCAATGTAAATTATATTCTGGCCGGGTAATTTGTATGAATTTTATGAGCTAAAACAAATATCTTCAGTTAATAAAAAAAGTTATTCTTCACACCGTGCCAGATGGTCGGACGGTCCTCCCCCTCCCCCACCCCCCACCAACCCTCCCTACCAGATAAATGTGTGGGAAAACCAGACTATTTACCTTTTTAGTAATAAATAATACCTCAAACTAAAGTTAGGATAATATAATTGACATTGCTGGATTCCTTGTAAGACCAGGAATATTTTGAATATAAATGTCATATATTTTGCACAAAAGATAACATACTTACTCAGATTAAACATTTTATCTAAAAATTTTATGTCTAATGCAAAATATTTGATGTTTATATTCAAAATGATCATCAAATTGTAAGAATTCCAGCAATGTAAATTATATTCTGGCCGGGTAATTTGTATGAATTTTATGAGCTAAAACAAATATCTTCAGTCAATAAAAAAAAAAAATATTCTTCAGGACACTATCCGTCAATCAAAGTACCCCACCTTGCCTCCCCCCCTCTTCCAACCGCGCGGTCACTCCCAACCCTCCCCCCCACCCCCCACCACTCCTCCCTTCAAGAGATGTTGGGTGAAAAATTTAGATTTTAACATTTTGTATTAAATAATACCTCAGATTAAAGTTAATAAAAAAAAAAAATAATTCTTCACGGGGTAACAGATGGTCGGTCGGTCCCTCCCTCCCCCCCACCCCCCACCAACCGTCCCAAGGAGATGTGTGGGATAACCACTAAATTTTAATAAATAATACCTCAAACTAAAGTTAGGATAATATAATTGACATTGCTGGATTCCTTGTAAGACCAGGAATATTTTGAATATAAATGTCATATATTTTGCACAAAAGATAACATAGTTACTCTGAGAAAATTTTTTATCTAAAATTTGTATGTCTAATGCAAAATATATGATGTTTATATTCAAAATGATCACCAAATTATAAGAATTCCAGCAATGTAAATTATATTTTGGCCGGGTAATTTGTATGAATTTTATGAGCTAAAACAGGCAGTCAGGCAGGGTGGCGGGTGGGGTCAAATCTAAAAATAGCGTCTCGAGCCGGACACTCACCGCGTATATGTGGAAAAAATCCGTGTTAAGTGAAAGTTCAGCTCTGGCGAGGCACCGCGTATATGATAAAACGCGTTAAGTGAAACCGCGTTAGGCGGGGTAATACTGTATATATCCCACCTTTCTTGTTGCAGCAAAATGTTTCATTGTTAAAGCATTATTATTATAACATGATTTAGAGCTACATTTACTTATTATAGATAAAAGAAAACAGGCATTTGATAATGACAAATATAAGGCTGTAAGTCATCAGTACCTGGTAGTGCAGCAGCCATAGAAACATTATCACCATCCCACTCATCACCACCACCTCCCTTATCATTACAGGTACTCCTTGACTTACGACATACTCAACTTACGACAACCCGGACATACGACCGCCGTGGTCGTATAAAATATTTTTCAAAATACGTATTTTCTAGTACCGACGATAGTGATCGAGCTGTGTACTGACAAAATTTTTGTTTGTAATTCCCTTTAAAATGGCTGGCAAGCGTAAAAGTGAGAGTTCTCGTGGTGCTGAGAAGAAAAAGAGACACCCGTTTTAGAATTTTTATGTATTATTTTTGCCTTTTCGACTTACGACCTAGTCGTCGGGACGGAACCCCGTCGTAAGTTGAGGAGAGACTGTATATACAAGTTTATTATTACACTCTTACCCCTCAGCTTTTTTGCTGCATTCAGTCATTGTTAAATCATTTTTATTATAAAATCATGTTGTTGCTAGTAAAGATTATGGAAGATTTTCTTTTTACTTGCAAATGCTAGGATTTTGTTTATTTTTTTCCATGTTGAGAATTATTTGTAATTGTCTTATAAAATTCTAACTCTGCTATACAGGTATCGATGTGCTGCCAGGAGTCAGAACACCCCAGACAGTACTGCTGGTAACCTTGGATTTAGATGTGCTGCCGACCACCTTCCACAGTACAGTACTTAGAAAATTAACATTTGGTGTTTCTAGTTTGTTGAATATAAAAATGTGCAAAGCTGATACTATTGGGTTTGTCAGTCTTTCATGGTATAATGAGAGTGTAATTTGTTAATGATTACCATAGATATGTTTATTGTACTAGGTCAGCTATCCATTGGTCCTGGGTTCAAATTTTGACTGAGGAGGCAGTGAGTAATTGATAGCGAATGTAGGCGGGTAGTCTTTGATTACATCAAGGAGTTGTAACCTTGCCTTGGCAGCTGTTCCTACCCTGTGGGTTAGCATTAGGAAGGGCTGTAAATCTTTGCCTCAAGATACCTGATGCTAACCGAGTCAACAGAGCTGGGTCCATCTGGCCTCCTCTGCATTTTCTTGAATGGTGCCCTGGGTAAGTGTGAGGGGCATCCCATTGAGGTTTTACCCAGCATCTGCTTGCAGGTAATCATGACTAACCTATGCAAGCATGGGAAACAACCTTGGGACCTAGAGGTGGTTTGACAATAAAAAAAAGTGTGGGTAATAGAATGGTCTCCAGGTAAAGTCCCCTTCACTACTGCATTTACAGAGGCTCGTTTTATTAACGTCCCCACAAATCATTACATTGAGATAATTGTTTTTATATTATTTTACTTTGATTCCATAGTACAGTATATTTACTATTGCGAGTTTACTTCTGTCAAATGTAAACAAACACAGGGCTGTTACACTGCACAAAACCTGATGAGTCCCTGTAAACACACTAGTGAAGGGGACTGTACAGTAGTGTATAGCCAGCCATACAAAGTATAAAAAAAAAAAACTGGTTTTACTAAAAGAAAATTTATGAATTTCTTTTTGAACATCTAATCATTTAAAAAGATGCAGCAGTACCTGATCTTGTCTTCTCACATTACTAACAGGAATTGTAGTGCATTATTAGTCATACTGAGCATTACAACACTGCAACATCACTTTGTCTAGTTTCTCAAGTTTTGGCTTATTAAGCACTTTCACCCTACCAGATCATACAGTATACCGGTATAGCTTACTGCTTATTAAGAAATAATTCCCGTTATTTATATATACTATATATATATATATATATATATATATATATATATATATATATATATATATATATATATATATATATATATATATATATATATATATATATATATATATATATATATATATATATATATATATATATATATATATATATATATATATATATATATATATATATATATATATATAAAACATTGATAATTTTTTTTTATGAAGTGAACAACATTTACTAAATACTGTACAGTGGTCTCATCAGATTGCTATAGGCCTACTGAGAACTAAGACACTTGAGTATGTAAGCAGGCTGGTGATGATCAGGTGTTGCCACGTTCGTCAGGTTTATTTATTTATTCAGTATTCTATTCTCATATGATTGGCCTCTTATGGGTTATGGTTCATCAAGATTAATATAACATCTTCAGTAATAGAGAAAAACAATACTGTATGTAATTCATAATATGACGAAAATAAAAAGATAAGCTGTATCAAAAGGTTGCTTACTCAAGATGTGTTCGTGTGACAGCTTTCAGCAGACCAGCTCACAACAGGGAGCACTATAACACACTGTATAGTATTTGATATGAAGACTCCTTCCTAACAATGTTATTTACTACCTTTTGAGTGTTATATGATGACCCAGTTGGCTACTTGTGCACATAGAAAAATGATTAATGAATAAACCAGGGTATATGCAGATACACAATATTGTACACTACAATACAGTAGTATACTTAAATGATGATAAATACACAACTGTACTATACTAATTTGCTAAGCTGATCAGCTGTTTGCCCTTTGTAAATAAATGACTCATGGTGTTCAGTGTGGGATTTTTTTCTTCAGGAAAGCTGATTCTCTTAGGATATTTTATCAACCTGGTACCAAATGAACCAAAATTATATGAGAATTGTGGTGAAATTGCATAAAGAAGTGTTAAAGGAATCTTGGGGGAGAAATGGGAAGGGAGCCACCCACCCATGCTCCCCCCTTCCTTCTGCCAGCTGTTCCCAGATAAACACTCGTCTTCCACATACAGTACAATAAACTCCTACACTTATTTGTTCTTATTTTTATCTTTATAGTACTGTACAGTATACAGTTTTCTCTTAATTCATAAGAAAAATTCAGTGGTTACTTACATATAACACTTTACAGTAAATAATAATCATCTCGGTGACAACAGTTGTGACAACCAGACTTAGACTAAGTTCTGATTTTCAGCCCAGAGAGTTTATTTCATATTTTTTTTATTATTGGTAATGTAATATTCTTTTGATAACCTTGTTATACACTTAAAGACCTTAGTTGTTGAAGTGCAGTAATAACAGAACTGATTTTCTTTAAACAGTTCAGATAAGCAGTGTCTCCCCATATATATTCTCTTTTTTCGGACTTACGCATTTTATGGACTGGGGTCTGCCCCAATTAAGTCCAGTTTATCAAGGTTCTAGAATGTTGTGAATATGGGTATGTAGTAATTTAACTTTATATAGTACAAGGTATATATTCTTTAAAGTTAGTGCTGAATGTTTAATTACAGTATTACAGAAATAAATTTTCATGCTATCTTTTATATTGTCTTTACAACCTTAGTGCATAATTACTAGATGGCTTGAATAGGGAACTAAGCCTGAAGTGAAATTGGAAAATATATTATCACAACTCATGTTGAATGAGAAAAAGTAAACTTCAACACTGCATGTGGGTTTTACTAGAATTTTAGAATTTATAGATCTACTTTACTCCTTTATTTATAAATTTTTCTATATACCTGTACAGTAGATTCGCAACTTACGCGAGGTTACGTTCCTGGGACCTCGCGTAAAGCCAAAAAATGCGTAAATTCAGGATGGGATGGAGAAAGGAAACTCACAATGTGCTCACTGTATACATATTGTATTGGATGTACAATGCAGCTTGCTGCTGGATAGGTAGCATGGTAATAAGCGTTGAGTAGAGAGAGCTGGTTGGTGAGGGTGCCCAGAGGAGCATGTGGCTTGAGGGACTCCAAGGTGGCGAGGGTGCGGGAGCCGCCAGGCTGGTGCGGAGGAGGAGGTGTTGCTTGCTGGTGGCACTGGGTAGAAAGAAAGAGAGAGTGGTCACAGCGGTGTCAGGCCTTATAAGGCGGGGGTAGATAGTTGACCCCCGCTCCGTGAGCGGTGCTGGAGGCGTAGGCTGGGGAATTTGAAAAGGTTCGATGCTTGTAGGGGAGGAATCCACTGCAATGTGACAGTTAGCGCCGAAGGTCTTGTGCGTATTTATTTATCTGTCCTTTAGAACAGTGATTCTCAAACTGGGGTCCGCGAAAAGTTTTTGAGAAATAGTGAGTTTAACATTTGTGAGAGATTTGGCGATTTCAATTCGCAGGATATTTTAGATTTGGGTTAAAATGAACAAATGCTTTGAACTATGATTTATTCTTTGATTACTGACAATATTTGCATGCGTCATGGTATAAGGGGTCCTTGGTTGAAAAAAAGTTTGAGAACCCCTGCTTTAGAGTGACTAAGTTTTACTCTAATAAAATGTCACTAACTGACCTGGGAGAATATAATTTACATTGCTAGGATTCTTGAGATAGTGATTAATTTGAATATAAACATACTATACAGTACAGTAATACCCCGCTTAACGCGGTTTCGCTTAGCGCGTTTTACCGTATACGCGGTGCCTCGCCAGAGCCGAACTTTCACTTAACGCGGGTTTTTTCCACGTATACGCGGTGAGTGTCCGGCTCGAGACGCTATTTTTAGATTTGCCCCACCCGCCTGCCTGCCTGCTCTCGCCTCTCCCTCCTCCTCCCTCCCTCCCGCCTCCCTCCGCCTGGGCAAGCCGCGCTGTAAGGTTGCGCAGTGTGTGTCTTCTACTAACTTAAGTGTTACACCTAACTTTTAATTTTCCTAACCTAACCTTTATTTTTCCTAACCTAACCTCTTCTATATTACTTGTTTGTTCATACCATCATAAAGTTAAGATAAAATTTTTACTACAACATAGTTATGTGTCGTCAAAAAGTGGAGTTTGGGGGTCGGGCCAGTTTCTATTGGAATTAATCCCATATGTTCTGTTGTTCACTTCGCGCGGTTTTCACTTAACACGGTACCCTGTGGGTTTTATTGACCGCGTTAAGCGGGGTACTACTGTAGTTTGCACTAGACATAAAAATTTTAGTAATTATTTAGTAGATTATTTTGAGTACATGTACAGGACAGCTTTGCCCTTAGGACAGTGTGTGCATGTAAATGAGAAAAAATAAATTAAGAAATTACGCATATTGAGTCAAAAATATTAGTTGAAAAACTTTATGTAGACAGATCTGTGTTGTTGTTTTGAAATAATTCATCCCCTTCCAACGTTACCGTGGGGAGCATCATCAAGGTCAGATAACGATGCAGGGGAGGATGTGGGCAGCTCAAGGTCACTGCGAGACGTTGAGGGCATTGACTGATCTGAGGTTTTATTAAAGAACATGGTGATGGGAAGCTGTCATTGTTGTTTCATAAACTGCTGGAACTTATTCTTATACTGTGCCATAAGACTTGTAAGGCCTCGTGAGAAGTTGATGCTGCGCTTCATAGAGGGGTCATACTCAGACACTAAGTTTTTCAAGTGCTCGGCCACCTGAAACACTTCACTAAACTTGTGTATATCCCAACATGCTGGCTCTTCTCGTTCTTCATCAATGTCGCCACTGTCGTCTTCGTCTGCTCTCACTGTATTTTCTCCAACTCACCAACAGTCAGAGTTCCCTGTGCCCTTCAATTAATTCCTCGATTTCCTGCTTGACCATGTCTTCAAACCCATCACTGCCTACAGCCCTGGCCACCGTCATGATGTGCTTTACTTCAGAGTCGATCGTCGGGAATCCTTTAAAGTCACGCACACAGTCACTCCACAGTGCCTGCCAACACCAATTAACCGACTCTGGTTTCAGTGCATCCATGGCCTCCTTCACAAAAGTGATGCAATTGGCAATGTTGAAATCCTTCCAGCATGCCATAACACTGTTGTTAGTGCCGTCCTCCATGGCGTTGCGAATGCAGACGAAGGTGAGGCGAGTGTACGCTGCCTTAAAGCACCGAATCACACACTGGTCGAGAGGCTGGAGGGTGGAGGTGGTGTTGGGTGGAAGGAGCACTACCTCGACGTCATCTGTGCGAATTTATGGCATCCGGGTGGCCTGGTGCGTTGTCAACAACCAGCAACACCTTAAAAGGCAGTCCCAGCTTCTCTAGGTAGCTCTTTACCTCGGGGATAAAAAATTTGTGGAACCACTCAAGGAAAAGCATTGCTGTCACCCAGGTTTTCTTGTTTGACTGCCAGTAGACAGAGAGGGAATTCTTATTATGTCCCTTTAGAGCACGAGGGTTGGCAGACCTATGAATCATTCCTGGCTTTATCATATGCCCTGCTGCGTTGCCACACAGCAGGACGGTTACGCGGTCCTTCGCAGCCTTGAACCCGGGGGCCTACTTCTCAGACTTGGAAATGTAGGTTCTGGTTGACATTTTCTTCCAAAACAAACCTGTTTCGTCAGCGTTGAAGACCTGCTCTGGAAGATATCCATTTTCCTCAATCAATTTACTGAATTCTTCTGGGAACACCCGTGCAGCTGCCTCATCCGCCGATGCCAATTCGCTAGTGAGTTATATTTTTCAGGTTGAAACGCTTCCTAAAACTGTTGAGCCAACCTGCACTGGCTTTCCAGAGCTGGTGGATGCTTTACCCTCAGGAACCTCAGATTTAAACGGGTCATAAACACTCGGTGCCTTTTCCCTGAGCATGTTGCCATCGTTGGGGGACATGTTTCTGGTTCATATCCTCCACCCAGATGTTTAATGCCTTCTCCACCTTCACTAGAGTTACATCTCTAGTCACTTTAGCAGTAAATGAGGCACTTTTAGACACGGTTTCACGAATTTCCTTCTCCCGAATCGTAATGGACCTCATGCTTGATTCGTTGCATCCGTACCTCCGTGCATGCCACAGCAGCGACCGACATCCCACCTTTTATTAAGTCTAAAACGGCCATGTTTTCTTCAAAGGTCATCACAGAGCGTTGTTTCTTTGCTGGAGGACCAGAAGCAGAGGTTGGCTTGCGTTGGGCATTGTGAACGAGTATGAGAGGTTTAAGCGCACTAAATTGACACACACGAGAGGCAGGTGTTACTCCGACAATACCCACGCGGCAACTGAAGACGGGGAGGTGGGATGGTGAGAGTGGAGCTTTGGCGGGCTTATGACCCATTCTGAAATTTTTGAGTTTGAAATTGGAAATTGTAACTTAACCCCCGGGGTAATCCGCATTTACTGTAGTTGAAACCGCTTAAGAAAAATACTTGTAAGTTGTGAGTCTACTATTTACACAAGCAATTTTCACAATTTATAAAACCCGACAAGTATTAAATTCATATGGCCTGGCAGAAAAGTGCTCTGGTTCAGCATATGCCAACATTCCCAAGTGTTGCTGCCGAGCAATCTGTAGCATAATGTTGTTTAGTAGCTGGTGAAAATATGACATATTTTATTTAATAGCTTATATTTTATTATCTCATCATCTCCATTATAATATCCAAAAGAAAATAATTTCGGGGAATATCTTGGGAAAAATGCACCGAGTATCTCAAGAGTGTGAGGGTTGCATTCCAAAAAATATTTACATAAACTGAAATTGCACAAAATGAACAACCACTGTATGGGCATTTAAATGTAAAAAATAGCAATAAATTCCACAGCATATGGTCTACTACAGGTATTCCCTGAAAACCAACACCTCATTAACCACTGATTACATAGTAGGGAACTACCCCATAAGTTTCATTTGATACCCTGGAGAAACACGATTGGGAGAGGAGTGGCAGAGCTGTTTTGAATTTGGCAGGCAGTGGCATTGCACATATTCTTGCCATGAGAGGGCTCTGCGTGCTGTCTCCGACTCATTCCTGCCTATCTGCACTAGTTTACACTTACCAGTCTTTGTGGTTTTTTCATTATTTCCAATTTTGTGTGTTATGCAATTATGCCTAAATGTCCCAGTGATAGTTCCTCTTGTGCTAGCTTAATGTGATGAGAAAAGGAGTAATAAGAGTGGTGATGGATGAGTAGTGATTGATAGAGACTTGAACTTGCCACCCTAAACCGTCTCTACCATCCTCAACACATGAAAATAACAGTCTCAAAATATGCTTTACATTCCTTATTTAGTGATTTTTGTATTTGCTTTATATGTCTGCTTTATTTTCTTGCTTGACAGTGTGCACAAGAGAGATATATCAAGGGTAGATTGAAGTTTTTGGGAGGTGGCCGGTCCCTAACACCATGAATTTTTTATATTCTTATGGGATTAATTGCTTCGATAACTGTTCATTCACACACCAACAACTTTTCATGGCCCCTATATGTGGCAGTTATTGGGGTATGCCTGTACCTCTTTCATTTCCCCATACAGTACTCTTAAATTGTCTGTACTCCCTTAATAATGTTGGGCAGTTGCCTGGTTTCTTCTAGTTCAATATACAGTGACCCCTCGTTTAACGAACACCTCGGTTAACGTAATTTCGATTAACGAACTGCCTTCCATAAGGATCTTCAATTCGGTTAACGAAAAAAAATTCGCTTAACGAACTTCTTACGAACCGACCTCAACATGTTTTCGCTTGCACTGACCGGGCAACCAGCTTTAGTATCAGTCCGCCAATACATTAATCGGTTCTAGGGCTTAAATTCCTTACTATTTTTGTAAATATCAAGAAGTTTATACTATTCAATAATTTTAAAAGTTTAATATTCTATTTTTTAGTCATTTTAACAATTATTGAACAAAATTGAAGGTAAAGTGACTAGTTTAATGCGCGGCATCCAGCCTCTTAACACAGCAAACAGGCGTCAGTCTCTCTCTGTTTTCACTGGAGGTAACATCTTGCTTGAGACTCTCTTCAACTAAACGCTTTTTTTCTGTGTTTCCAAGCAAATTATTGGTCATTTTGAAATATATTTTATATATTGACAATATATAATGCAGTGCAGCGTTGATTTAAAGAAAATAATCTTGAATTAAACCAGAGAGCTAAAATTTTATGGGTGAAATGGCACCATGGGGTGACTTCTCTTCCACCCCAATGCCTTCTCTTCTTCCTTCTCCTCCACCCCCATTCTAAATCCCATCATCATCATCATCATCCAGGAGCCTTCTACATACACACCTCAAAGTAAGTGAACTTTTCTACCATTTTTGTTGAATTTAGGAAATTTTCGGTGAGCTGGAACCAATTACCCAAAAACCCATTGAAACAATGGTTTCGGTTAACGAACGACCTTCTGGAACGGATTGAGTTCGTTAACCGAGGGGCCACTGTATAATCATTAGATCACTATTTCTTCTCCACTACATGTTTTCAATGTATGGAGTTTAATAACCATATTGTTGTACTATATTATAATATGTTTTCTTAAAATAAATTCACTCCCTTTTCTCATTATACAGAACAGATACTGAACACAAAAAAATAATTATTTGTACAGTATTTATACATTAGTTATCTTACAAACAATAATTGATGAGGGCAAATTAAAATTCAGTTTACAATTATATAACATTCATTTTAATTGTCAAAGTTTGCTGTAACTACTAACAGTGAGACTAGGACTTGTTGCCTTGAAGGTGATAAACCTACAATAAATATTCTTAAGTCACAAACAAAACACTGCTAACACAAGACATATACTGTACCACATACTGAACGACTATGAGTAACTTAAATGTAGTGCTGTACATAGTAGTAATTAGACAAATATCAGGCAGATACACTTTTAACAATAAAACTATTCAAACAGTTATCGTATATACTCGTGTATAAACTGATCTTGTATATCCAAATCCGGGTGAATTTTTTAAAACAAACATGGAATAAATGCTAAATAGATACCAGGAATGTACCATTTTTGTCTATAAATAAAAAACTAACAGCGCTGATGGTTTACATTAAAATAAATCTGCAAAAGGAATTTACTAAACAAAAGCAATTCCAGTACAGTATGACTAAAATAAGAGCTACTTTCAATTGTGCTTAAATATGTAGGACTGATAAAATTACCAAATAATTATTTATGCCCAACACTAAAATCAACAAACCTACATCTGTAGGAAACAAGTGAAGACAGTAGTTGTTCATATTTTTATTTTGTGTTTCTCAATAATTTCAAAAGTTTAGTCATCAAACCTGATTTTTTTATTTAAAAAAATAATAAAACCAATTATTCCAAGTTAACAAACCTGTTGGTCCACACAAAGTTTTCTAGGAATAAATTACTGACTCTTCATAGAAGTAAGTTTGCGGCTTCTTGCTCTGTTCTCAGTACGTGCGTGCGTGTATTCAAACCACAAAATGTTAGGGATCAGAGACGTATCACGAATCATAAGCCGTTCACACACACTCCTGAAATTTCAAAGGTGTTGGTAAATTCAGCAAATAACTATTGATTTAAGTTAAACATTTATAGGACTACTGGTTGTGTTCTCCAAATAAATTTTTAGCAAGCTAAATTAGCATTGTCAACATACTAGATGCCCCACTGCCAAAGAAAGCAGTAGTCAATAATATATATATATATATATATATATATATATATATATATATATATATATATATATATATATATATATATATATATATATATATATATATATATATATATATATATATATATATATATATATATATAAAAACACTTCGTGTTTGAAACACCTATCTTAACCATGTTCATTTTGAATTATAATCAGCTAAACCCGATTTACAGTTTCATACATAAGCACAAAATTTTCCCTCCTCCTCATCATCCTGCTTTAGTTTTCCTGGTTACAAATCCTTTTTTGAATCTTAGCAGTGGTGGTGGCAGTCTCTGTAGTTTTGTAAAACGTAAGATTTCTCTGACATAATATTTTAACTTATATCCCCATTTTGACTTCTTTTAAAAAAAATTTCTACCAGTAATACCAAATACTTGAGCTGTACAGTAGACTCACAACTTACGCATATTTTCTAATGCGGTTTCAACTACAAGCGGATTAAAATTAGGATACAATTTCCAATTTCAAGCTCAAAACTTTCAAAATGGGTCGCAAGCCCGCAGAACACACCACCCCGCCACTTCTGTCTGTCTCAGTTGCCATGTGTGTATCGTCAGAGTAACACCTGCCTCTCGTGTGTCAATTTAGCGCGCTTAAACCTCTCATACTCGTTCATAATGCCCAACGCAAAACCAACCTCTGCCTCTGATCCTCCAGCAAAGAAACAACGCTCTGTGATGACCTTTGAAGAAAAAGTGGCCGGTTTAGACTTAATAAAAGGTGGGATGACAGTCGCTGCTGTGGAACGCAGGGAGGTACGGATGCAACGAATCAAGAGTGAGGTCCATTAAGATTCGGGAAAAGGAAATTCGTGAAACAGTATCTAAAAGTGCCTCATTTACTGCTAAAGTGACTAGAGATGTAACTCTAGTGAAGGTGGAGAAGGCATTAAACATCTGGGTGGAGGATATGAACCAGAAACATGTCCCCCAACGATGGCAACATGCTCAGGGAAAAGGCACCGAGTGTTTATGACCCGTTTAAATCTGAGGTTCCTGAGGGTAAAGCATCCACCAGCTCTGGAAAGCCAGTGCAGGTTGGCTCAACAGTTTTAGGAAGCGTTTCAACCTGAAAAATATTACTCACTAGCGAATTGGCATCGGCGGATGAGGCAGCTGCACGGGTGTTCCCAGAAGAATTCAGTAAATTGATTGAGGAAAATGGATATCTTCCAGAGCAGGTCTTCAACACTGACGAAACAGGTTTGTTTTGAAGAAAATGTCAACCAGAACCTACATTTCCAAGTCTGAGAAGTAGGCCCCCGGGTTCAAGGCTGCGAAGGACCGTGTAACCGTCCTGCTATGTGGCAACGCAGCAGGGCACATGATAAAGCTAGGAATGATTCATAGGTCTGCCAACCCTCGTGCTCTAAAGGGACATAATAAGAATTTCCTCTCTGTCTACTGGCAGTCAAACAAGAAAGCCTGGGTGACAGCAATGCTTTTCCTTGAGTGGTTCCACAAGTGTTTTATCCCCGAGGTAAAGAGCTACCTAGAGAAGCTGGGACTGCCTTTCAAGGTGTTGCTGGTTGTTGACAACGCACCAGGCCACCCGGATGCCATAAATTCGCACAGATGACGTCGAGGTAGTGCTCCTTCCACCCAACACCACCTCCACCCTCCAGCCTCTCGACCAGTGTGTGATTCGGTGCTTTAAGGCAGCGTACACTCGCCTCACCTTCATCTGCATTCGCAACGCCATGGAGGACGGCACTAACAACAGTGTTATGGCATGCTGGAAGGATTTCAACATTGCCAATTGCATCACTTTTGTGAAGGAGGCCATGGATGCACTGAAACCAGAGTCGGTTAATTAGTGTTGGCAGGCACTGTGGAGTGACTGTGTGCTTGACTTCAAAGGATTCCCGACGATCGACTCTGAAGTAAAGCACATCATGACGGTGTCCAGGGCTGTAGGCAGTGATGGGTTTGAAGACATGGTCGAGCAGGAAATCGAGGAATTAATTGAAGGGCACAGGGAACTCTGACTGTTGGTGAGTTGGAGGAAATACAGTGAGAGCAGACGAAGACGACAGTGGCGACATTGATGAAGAACGAGAAGAGCCAGCATGTTGGGATATACACAGGTTTAGTGAAGTGTTTCAGGTGGCCAAGCACTTGAAAAACTTAGTGTCCGAGTATGACCCCTCTATGAAGCGCAGCATCAACTTCTGACGAGGTCTTACACGTCTTATGGCACAGTATAAGAATATGTTCCAGCAGTTTAAGAAACAACAATGACAGCTTCCTATCACCATGTTCTTTAATAAAACCTCAGCAGAACAGTCAATGCCCTCAAAGTCTCGCAATGACCGTGAGCTGCCCACATCCTCCCCTGCATCGTTATCTGAGCTAGACTGACAGACCCCCCCCCCCTGTGACGTAGGAAGGGGATGAATAATTTCAAAACAACAGAGGTCTGTCTACATACAGATAATGTCTGTTATATTAATGCTGTTATGCAGTTGTTACAGATGTTGATATTAAATTACAGTCGTGATTTATGAGTTCTAGTGTATATGTATGCATATATAATGATTTAAGGGCGATTTAGGGTATTTTTAGGAGCGTTTCCAACTTTACATGTCTTTTGGCTTTACGCTGGGTCCCAGGAAGGTAATCCCCACGTAAGTTGCGAGTCTACTGTATCTACCCCTCTCCTATTGTCTTTGCTACCCAGTCATCACATTCTCACTGATATCATACAAAATATTCAAAAATATTCAACCAAATCCCATGGCAAAATTCATAATGCTGGGTGATTTCAACTTCAACACAATATGTTTGATGCATTCTTCTCACACTGACCAGGTTGGTGTGGAGGATGTAACCTTTGACACCTCCCTTAATCTTAAACAATAGGTCAACACTCACAAAACCCCTCAAACGGGTATTGATGGACATCATCTCAATCTTTATTTAACCCTTCATGGAATGGGTGGGGGCCACCTGATCCTAAGGGTCCAGAATTAACACTACGACTCCTGTTGTCTCTGTGGGGTTGTCAAAATCCTTCGCCTTTTCCTCAAAGCCCAAACTTTTCCTTCTTCTTGGAAGCACGCCTTGGTTCGGCCCATCCCAAAGAAGGGTGACCATTCTAATTCCTCTATCGCCCCATTGCCCTAACTTCTTCCTTCTCTAAGATTTTCGAAACTATCTTGAACTCTCATTTTCTCCGTCACCTTGAAGGCCATTCTCTTTTGTCGGATCACCAGTATGGCTTTCACCAGGCAGGAACTACTGGTGATCTGCTCTCCTACTGCACCAATTTTTGGTTCTCCTCTCTTAGGGTTTATGGGGAAATTTTCATCGTGGCCCTCGACATTTCCAAACCATTTGACAGGGTATGGAACAAGTCTTTGCTTTCTAAGCTTACCTCTTATGGTTTCTCTCCCCTACTTTCTCTAATTTCTAGCTTCCTTGAGAACCGATCCATGGCAGTTGTCGTCGAGGGATCTCTCTCACTTTCTCTACCAATAGTGGTGTTCCACAGAGTTCTGTTCTTTCACCTACTCTCTTCCTTCTTTTTATCAATGATTTACTTCACAGTACGACTAATTCTGTCCATTCTTATGCTGATGATTCTACTCTTCACTCTTCTTCACATTTTCCTTTCCTCCTAACTCTCAAACTAGATCTGTTTCTAGAGCTGATATCATTACATGTATCACTGCGGATCTGTGCAGCAACTCCGAATGGGGAGGTAGAAACTTGGTTAAATTCAATAGTAATAAAACTCAGTATTTACCAATAACACTTTCCAAATTAGATAAACTCCCACCAATCACATTTCAGGATGAAATCATTCTGCCAAATTCTAAAATAGATATGCTAGGCCTCACCATTTCCTCTAAAATGTCATGGAAGCCAAACATCCTCAACATTGCTAAAGCTGCCTCCTGAAAGCTGGGAATGCTGTACAGATGCCGTAGCTACTTCACTTCTGAGCAGTTGCTTCAAGTATATAAAGGATTCATTCGTCCTAACTTGGAGTACTGCTTTATTATCTGGGGTGGTTGTTCTTCTGTCCAACTGTTAGATAGGGTGGAATCAAAGGCATTTTGTCTTATTAATTCTCCTCCTTTAGTTGATAATCTTTCTTCCCTTTTTCTTTGCCGCAATGTTGCTTCACTCTCTCTCTTTTACGGGTACTTTAACGGGCAATGTTCGGTGGATTTGGCATCCAGTGTACCACCGGCAAGGACGTGACCTTGTAACACTCATCTTGCCCCGTTGCCCAACGTTATAGTACATCCTTCTTTCCTCACACACACAGCCAATTGTGGAATGATCTGCCTTCCACTGTGTTTCCATATTCATACAAGCTGTCTCGCTTTAAAACGCTGGTTTTCCGTTATCTTCGTGGTGTAGATTAACATACCCCGTTTCTTTTCAGTTCTTTTTACTCTTATTTTTTTTGCCCCCCAGGCCCCGTTGTGGGTCGATGACCTGTGTCTGGGTGGGTTTGGTTATTCCCCGTAAAAAAAAAAGTGAAAAGGTTATACTGTTTAGAATTGGTATGGCAGCAAACTTCACTGGGGTGTGCAATGCATGGATCTCACTTGGTCTTCCGTATCACTAATTTGCTTTAATTTTTATCTTGTTCAATTGCTTACTCTTGATAGAAATCACATATCTTTGTATTTTGTAATACTGTATGTCTAATAATTATTATTACTGTACTGTGCATGATACAGTAAACCAGAAACTTTATACCCCAAGAACTTTTTTCTTAGCTGTTTTGAACACAGAGGTTGTTTTATTTAATTTGAATGTTAGAAAAAGGTTGTGAATTTGTTTCATAATTTTAAGTGTCATTAAATAAATAAATTCACCAAAAAGGACACCAGATGGATTGGATCTACATGGGGTGTCCTGGGAAACATTAATTTATAATTTAGTACATATAACAGACATCCACCATAAAAGTTTGGGGTTCATAAGGACCTCACTTGGTCTTTGGCGTTAGTAAACCACACCAAGTCCATGAAGGGTTAACCAACTATCCCCATTCTTATTCCTCTCCTCTTAGCTCTTCCATCCACTGTCTTAATTTTAACTCTGTGATCAACTCTCTTTAAAAGCACACAAAAATAATAAGTTAAAATTGCACAACTGACATTACAATTAGATAAAGTGAAATAGACTGGGATTGCTATTTCTTTTTTTCATAGTCATCTTTCTCTTCTGCTGCCCTTGTTATACTGTTGAACACTTGAACACACACTGATACCATAGAGGATGGTGGAATCCATACTAAATAACACATTCAAAGCACATCTCCTCTCCTCATCTTGGTTCAAGTGTTCCTGTGCCCCTATTGTAACTACCACTGTATACAAATCCAATCCATCTGTACACATTCAACAATTACAAATATGCTATAGATCATGTTAAAGTTATTATGTTATGAATATTAAACTTTCTGAATAATAACCATCCAAATTGTTGAACAATCCACACAACAGCAAACTATTCTGTCAGATTTTTAATGCATTCAGTTGCACCTTCAGCATCCATTCCTCCTCTCAACTCACCCGGTGGTATAGTGATCTCATATTCTCAGGAAAATCTATTTTTCTCAGACTTTTGCCTCTAACTCTACTGTCCAGGAAGATGAGAGGGAGATTCCCTATCTGGATTTGGGTGTGCCTGAAATTTAGACCCTTAAAATTAAAACAAATGATGTCAAAATACACATGAATGTCCTACTCAAAAACAAAATGCACAGTTCTGGACAGATTATTTTTGGTCTATCATTCAATCAATTCAAGGGTTTCTCAGATTTCTTTCTCAGTATCAACTCTTCTTTTAATACAAATTAATGATTTATTTCAATGACAGAGAATGTAATTCATTATTATGTAGATAATTCAGCTCTCCACAGACTTTTTACTTGACCCCCCAGCCTCAACAAGAAAATTTTTTTAATGCTAGGCAAGACATCCTCATCACTACAGGAAGACCTGCCTGCATGGCTGAGTACAGTGAACATAAATAGTTTACTTCAGTGCTACTTAATGTATGGCTAATCTTGAAATTCCTTTTTCTGAGGTAGCCCAAAACCATACACTACTCTTAATTTAGGACAAATTATTTGAGGTATATTTGTCTTCAGATAAGGTGACAGGTGCAGCCACTGACCCCCTTCTCTCTTTGAAAGGGAGGAAAGATCTGTAGGTCTGATTAGAGACAGTGACTACCCAATCAGCAACCCCTAGTGCTATGGTGGCTGCCCAACATTCTATGAATCCACTGAATCCAGATTCACTTTACCATTTCACTTCAGTTCCAAGTGTCTGAACACAAATCCAAGCATGTGTGAGACAGTATTGAAGCCATCTGGTTCTGCCAGAAAAGGGATTTCAGGATCAATAATTTCCATTTCTAGCCAACTGCCCTTGTAATCTCGAAGCAGCCTAAACAATGGGGAGGAGGAAGTGCTACAAAAGTTCCAGGATAAAATAGTAATAACATCCTCCTCAAGAGGTGACCTATATTTTCTTTTCAAGAGATGGAAACATGATGACCCTCGTCAACGGAAGAGGTTGACTAAAACTCTGGGTGTTAGCCTTTGATAAAGGATGAAAATAAGATTTAGCAGCTCAATTAATATTTGTTGCACTGTAGGTTAGTGTCTCCATTACAGTTTCGAATTTTCGAATGTAACAGAAATAACTATAATTCAGTCCTTACCTGTAACACAAACATGATAATTATCTCATATTTTGCCTGCCCATAAGATTTGTAGATCTGCAAACTGAAACTATGTAGAGACCTTATTATACATAATTATTATCATATACACAAGTCTAAATCAAGTTTATATCTCAAATGTGGGAGAATGATGATCAAGAATAAGGCAAGTGTGGTTAGGGGAATATAAATGAATAAAAACAAAATGAATGCTTAGCTTTAATTCCATGAAATTAACCCTCCCACGCGTGATGACACGATTTGCGTCATATTTATGATAAGACCAACTTCACGGTGACACCTCTGTCTCTGACAGTCCTGTAGGTCAGGTACATACTATAGTGACTGGCTTTTTCTCTGTTGTTTCACGATTTATTCTTATTAATTTACCACCATGAATACAGACCAACCAAAATAGTAACAGGAGTGATGCTGACAGCAACAGACAATTGATTGAACATTTTGAAAAGGGAGTGTCTGTTGAGAAGGGCAGCAGTGAGCAGCTGAAATATACAGGGCTTCTCTTTTGAATTTGTTTCCTCCTATTGTAAGTTTGTGTTTAATATATAAATAAGGATAAAGGCAACGCTTTGCACAGCCTGTACTTGTCCACCACAAGTGACAATCACTAAGGTAGACATGAACAAGTCCTGTTTGATCCTGTTAACTCAGGATCTGCTTGTGTGACAAACTTTATTGCAGTATATAAAATATTTAACAAAGAATAATGAATTAATGATACTATTCTGTAAAGAAAGAGAGAGAAGAGGAGGAGGATTAATATCTGGTGGGTTCGTATTGAAAATAGTAATTTATGAAATATATTAACCCTTTTGCGCATGATGACGTGATTTGCATCATATTCATGATAAGACCAACTTCACGGTGACACAAATTGAGTCACCAAACTTTAAAAAATTCGCCCAAAATTAAGTTTTCAACAGAATTGCGTCAAATTTTGAAGCGTCATAGTAGCAAGTAAGTTCTAATAAATAAACTAATTGACAACTCTCACACTGTAAGTGTGAGCCGTGTCCATTTAAATTTCCATAACTTCATGCAGGCTGCCTCAACTCCTGAATTACAGTGCTTACCCTACTCCCTGAGGTAATTTCTTTTTAGTGTTAGATAAGTGAAGTGATGGTTGTGTAATGTCACCCCACCACATGCCTCCCACAGTCACCAAGCACCTTCCATCTCCCACACTCCACTTTATCAGCTACACTACATTTGAATCCCTCTCCTTCTCGACACCTCACCCTCATCCACACTCACTCCACACACACAATCATTCACTCTCACTCTTACAGTTTACTCGGGCTCATTCACCCACTTCCTCTCGCAACAACTTCCTGAGGTCTTGCACCTTGCTGAAGGATGAGTAAAGAATGATCTTATTTTATATCAGTAAAGAATTAATTTATTTTATAATATATTTTCTGTTATTTTATATTGCATTTTATTATTAGATATTGTATTACAGTATGCCCGGAGGATTTTTATTTCACGGTCCTCTATTATTCGCGGATGACACCCTGGATGTACACAAGAATATCTGTGGGTAGTTTTAAAGTTGCCAGCATTTTTGCGGCTGGGACAAGGAGCCATTCGTTCTAGAGACAGTAATTTCCTTTACATGTACAGTGGTCCCTCGGTTAACAAACACAATTCGTTCCACAAAGTCGTTCGTTAACTGAACTAATTATTTCAATGGGATATTGAGTAATTGGTTCCAGTTCACAGAAAAGTACATACAAAGTACAGTAGTACCCCGATTTACGCGGTCAATTGAACCCACAGGGTACCGCGGAAAGTGAAATCCACGTAAATGGAACAACAGAACATATGGGATTAATTCCAATAGAGACTGGCCCGACCCCCAAACTCCACTTTTTCCGACACAATACCTATGTTGTAGTAAAAATAACATCTAAATTTTATGATGGTATGCTCACACAATTAATATTTAAGAGAAATACAGTCGCCAGGTTAATGTCCATTCAAATAATAGACTCAAATCCCCCCCCCCCTCTTCCCAGCTCACTGGCCCCTACCTCTCTGAGAAATGATTGGGTGAAACACTAGATTTTAACGTTTAGTAATAAATAATACCTCAGACTAAAGTTAGGATAATATAATTGACATTTCTGGATTCCTTGCAGGTCAGGGAATATTTTGAATGTAAACTTCATATATTTTGCACAAAAGATAAAATACTTGCTTTGTGTAAACCAAATTATTACATTAGATCTAAAATTTGTATGTCTAATGCAAAATCCATGATGTTTATATTCAAAATGATCATCATATTGTAAGAATTCCAGCAATGTAAATTATATTCTGGTCCAGTAATTTGTATGAATTTTATGAGCTAAAACAAATATCTTCAGTTAATAAAAAAAAAAATATTCTTCACGACACTATCTGTCAATCAAAGTACCCCAACTTGCCTCCCCCCTCTTCCAACCGCGCCAGATGGTCGGTCGGTCCCAACCCTCCCCCCACCCCCCACCTTCCCTCCCTACCAGAGAAATGTTGGGTGAAAAAACTAATTTTAACTTTTAGTAACAAATAATACCTCAGACTAAAGTTAGGATAATATAATTGACATTGCTGGATTCCTTGTAAGACCAGGAACATTTTGAATATAAATGTCATATATTTTGCACAAAAGATAACATATTTACTCAGAGTAAACATTAGATCTAAAATTTGTATGTCTAATGCAAAATCTATGATGTTTATATTCAAAATGATCATCAAATTGTAAGAATTCCAGCAATGTAAATTATATTCTGGCCGGGTAATTTGTATGAATTTTATGAGCTAAAAAAAAAAAAATTATACTTCACGCGTATATGGGTAGATGAACCGCGGAAAGTGAAAGTTCGGTTCTGGCGAGGCACCGCGTATATGAGAAATCGCGTAAAGTGAAACCGCGTAAAGCGGGGTAATACTGTGTATATATATATATATATATATATATATATATATATATATATATATATATATATATATATATATATATATATATATATATATATATATATATATATATATATATATATATATATATATATATATATACACACACAGTCATCCCTTGGTTATAGCGCACTTGGTTATCGTGATTTTCGTTATCACGCCTCCATCAAAATCTGCACACCAGTTATAGGCATTTTTCAGGTCGAGAATTTGGTCATCACGCATTTGCCTCCAGGTGTAATTTTAACCCCTTGGTTCACCTACATCTATTGAGAATAAAATCTTTCACCTACAAATTGACAATAACACATTTCCTGTAATCAGACATATCTAGTTGCCTCAACAATTGCAACCCCAGTTGCAATTTCAAATTCTGTGTCATTACTAAGGAATAACGAAGTCTCTGGTGCACTCTAAGATTAAGAGAGAAAACGGAGAACTCAGGCATCCTGAAGCAAGAGAAAATGGACTCTTATGACAGGGGACACAAGCACTCACACGTGTCACTCACACTGACAGACTTGACAAGTTTTACCAACCATTAGTTGTGTACGTTATCTAGTGAATTTAGTCAATATTGTACAGTACAAGTACACTGCATTAGAGTGGTCCCTCGGTTAACAATGGACCTAAGTGCAAACCTGTACTGTACATGTACTAAATGATTACGGTACTAAAATTGTTATGTCTATTGCAAATATAGATTGTTTATACAGGTATTTAAATAAATCACTATCTTACAAGAATCCCAGCAATGTAAGTTATATTCACTCAGGTCGTTTGGGTGGCAAATTATGAAAAGAGCTTAGTCACTCTTCAGTAATGATAAATAAACACGCAGGCCTTCAGTGCCAACTGTCAAATCATATCTCAAATAAATAAACAAACACCAGACACTTTGTCACCTCACCTCCCGCTCCTCCCTTCTTCCCACGCTCGCTGGCTACCTCCCTTCTTGCCTCTCTCCTTGT